GCATGCTCCTGCGCTGCTGCTCTGTGTGTCCATTCACGCACAAAGCTGCGGCTCAGCCCCGCCCCCCCCTCTTCATTGACTAACTGGCTGTGATTGACAGCAGCAGCCGCCAATGGCTGGATCACAATCGGCTCAGGTAAGTATTTCTAGCTGATAGTCACTTTAGGGAGGAAGTTCTGTGTTAGGGGATAGCAGGTAAATTCTTTCTGTAGTTAAAGGCTACAGTGCTCAGCATAAATGAGTACACCCCAAAACATTTGTCAGAAAAGCTTTAATTTACTTTCAGAATCAGCATCTTCTGTGGGACACTAAACTGCAAAATACTCCCACAAATGCGGGTCATTGACTGCAAACAAGATTGGTTAATTTACACACAGCAAGTATTTTTCCTAACAAATTCATTCAAGACCATGTTGCAAAAATGAATACACCCCAATGAAAGTCTTAGGAGCAAAGCTAAATTTTAGATAACAAAATCCTAATTAACAAGAATTCAACTATAGGTGAGTCTAATTATTCATTAAACAGGTGTCCAGCAGACAGTTGAATTTTAAAGGGTATTACTTACCAAAGAAAACCTCTTCCCATTTCATGCTGTCAGCAATGGCACCACATGGAAGAGAAATGTCACAAGGCCCGAGAAAGTAAGAAGATAATTTCTTTACACAAGAAAAGTGAAGGCTACAAGAAGATCAGCAAAGCTTTACTTAACAGTCAGAATACTGTAGCAAAATTGATACAAAGATAAAACTGCAACCATCTCACAGAGATGTCCAGGCTGTCCACGGAAGTTAACACCTCAACAGGAGCGTCTTCTGATGAGAAGGGTTGAAGAAAATTGCCATGCAAGTTCACTGCAGTTAGCTAAAGAAGTAGAAAGCCAAACTGAGGTGATTGTTTCCTGTGACACAATATGGTGTACACTGCAGAGGAATGGCATGCATGGGTGTTGTCCATGAAGGAAGCCTCTCCTAAAGCCCACACACAAAAAAGCCCACCTAGAATTTTCCAGGGCCCATGCTGAAAAAGAAGACTACTGGGACACTGTACTCTGGAGTGATGAGACCAAGATAAATGTTTTTGGAACTGATGGCTTTAAAACTGTATGGCGTCGCTAAGGTGAGTACAAAGAAAAATGCATGGTACCTACAGTGAAACATGGTGGCAGTGTCCTTCTGTGGGGCTGCATGAGTGCTGCTGGTGTCTGGGAGCTGCAGTTGATTGATGGTATCATGAATTCACAGATGTACTGCTATATATTGAAAGAGAAGATGCTACCATCACTCCATGCCCATGGTCATCGTGCACTTTTTCCAACATGACAATGATCCAGAACATACATCTAACGCCACTGTAGTATTTCTGAAGAAGAACAGGGTGATGGTGATTCAGTGGCCAAGTATGTCTCCTGTTCTGAACCCAATTGAACACCTATGTGGAATTCTGAAGAGACAAGTTGAGCCTCACTCTCCATCCAGTGCCAAGGCTCTAAAAGAGGTCGTTCTTGAAGAATGGAAAAAGATCGATGTTGCAATGTGTCACCAACTTGTTCATTCCATGTCTAGAAAACTTGGTGCTGTCCATACAAATCATGGAGGTCATACAAAATACTAGATGGAATAGTTTTGTTGTGGGATGTATTAATTTTTGCATCAACGAATTTGAGTAAAACTGAAGATTTTGTAATCTAAGTTATATTATTAACCTTACCTTGTTACTCAGTTTTGTCAAAATTTTAGAAATTGTTCTTGTGTTCAATGAGATATTGACTAAAATCTTACTTTTCAAAAGGGGAGTACTTATTTATGCTGAGCACTGTATGTTCACCTCTAGGAACATCTTACACCAATATTTAGGGTGTAATCTCTGACTTGTTCTTAATCACCTGCTTCCCACCCAGTGTTTAATACCTACAGTTTAAACTTGAATGTATTGGCGCAGTGACTCCACTTGCTTGCTGTGATAAGATGGTAGTCTGGAGTTTATCGCAAGAGTCTGAAAGAAATCAGCTTCTTAGCTCCTTTGTAGAAAAGCATTGTGTGCTGTGGGATGAATGCCATTGGTAAACCTCATCATAATTATTTTATACACCTAGTAAAAGGTAATAAAATTAGTGTTAGGAATTTTAAATAAAAAAAAAATTGCCTTGTCCATCCCAGCGTGCCAGTGGGATCTAGTAGAGGGCTAGCTAACACTGTAGCACACAGAACATTATTGAGCATACTCCTATTTTATGCCCACAAGGACATATTGTTACATTGGAAGAAACCAGCGCCCCTAACACTATGATATTAGAAAGGCTTGGTAACTGTAGCTCTACCTTTCTATAAAGCCACATATCTGAGTCGAGGTTGTCTACAAACATTTGACAAGGTCTGGGGTAGTTGGACATCAACGGGAGCCACAAATGAATAATCCCTAGTTGTGATTTTTTGTTCAGTTTTAGTGGGACTCTTCTGCCTTGGATTATGAGGTTGGTCTGATTGTCTACCTAACCTCTGAAAGCTAACTTTTGATGCAGAAATGCACTGTATCGCTGTGAAGCCAACACCCGTTGGGTGTATTGCCTCAAGGTGAGCCTTGTTGATGGTTTTCCAACATCCTGCTACCTTGGGTGGGGGAAGGCATGGAGCGAGGCAGGTGGTGGGGGGAGGTGGCCGAGGAAGGGGAGATGGCTATATTCAGTTGTGATTGCCTGTAGATGTTCTCTTTTTTGTTCTGTTGACGGTCCAACATGACCACATTAGGGCCGGTTGTGGCTTTTTTTTTTTTTTTTTTTTTTTTTGCACCTTTTTTTTATTTTGTACTTTTGTGCTTGCTTTTAAAGTGCAATAAATAGAATAGCAGGGAGAGGAGAGACCTTGCAGTGTAACAAGCACTGATTGGGTGCTCATCAGGAAAGGGGAGTATCTGGCTCGGTTTAGGCTGTGTTTCTGCCCACAATCTCAAAAAGCACTACAATTGCAATACGCAGGTTCAATTACATAGTTAGTCTGGCTGAAAAAAGACAAAAGTCCAAAAAGTTCAACCATAAAAAAAAAAAAAAAAAAAAGATATAATCCTACACCCACAGTTGATCCAGAGGAAGGCAAAAAAAAAGCCCAGCAAAGCATGATCCAATTTGCTCCTGCAGGGGAAAAAAAATCCTTCCTGATCCCCCGAGAGGCAATCAGATATTCACTGGATCAATATTACCTATAAATGTTAGTTCAGGTGTCATCATTTTTAATTGCACCTAAAACTCGGTGCGATTTCGCTGCAATTTACTGTGTATCAATTGTGGCAAATTGCATCACGTGAAGCTTGTTGCCCAAAAAGGAGCAGGAGCTTCTTTTGGGCGACAAGCTTCACGCAATGCGATTTGCCATGCAACATTCGCAGCAAAGCCGCACCATGTTTAAGGTGCCGTTGAAAATAATGGCACCTAAACCTGCATTTTGCGATTGCAGCGATTCTGCTGCAATCCCAAAACGCCCAGGTGTGAATGGGGGCCACCCTGGTTCACACACAGGTGATTCTGGATGCATTTTCAAAAGCACAAATTCGCATGACAGGATAGATATTTTGTCTTCCTATTGAGGTGGCTCACATAGATGCCATCCACAATTATTTGTGTTTTTGAGTGCCATTACAAAAAGGGTCCTGTGCGAGTTTGTAGCAGTGCTTTCCAGACTCGCAAGTGATAGTGGCATGTGGAGATAAGTGTTCACATAGGATTGCTATTGACAGGCGTTTTCACATTGAAGTGAATGGAGGGCATTTTTGCACAGAAGTCTTTGGGAGGCGTTTTTGCATGGAAGTCTTTGGGGGGGCGTTTTTGCATGGAAGTCTTTGGGAGGCGTTTCTGCATGGAAGTCTTTGGGAGGCGTTTTTGCATGGAAGTCTTTGGGAAGCGTTTTTGCATTGAAGTCTTTGGGAGGCGTTTTTGCATTGAAGTCTTTGGGAGGCGTTTTTGCATTGAATTCTTTGGGAGGCGTTTTTGCATTGAATTCTTTGGGAGGCGTTTTTGCATTGAATTCTTTGGGAGGCGTTTTTGCATTGAATTCTTTGGGAGGCGTTTTTGCATGGAAGTCTTTGGGAGGCGTTTTTGCATGGAAGTATTTGGATGCAGTTTTGTATCAAAGTCAATTGCCTGCAGTGGGGCTAAATGCAAAAAAAAAAAAGGCAAAGCCCACCTGACCGGCGTCTGATACTTCATCTCCCAGGCATCGGGCGATATGATTTGCACATCTCTGCTTATGTTATCCATTTATAAATGCTTTTTATTGTCATTAATGATGAATGAAACCTAACACAAAGCTTTTGGAGTTGATTGTTTGAGTACGTTACTATTTGTATAGTGTACTATGTAGATAATTACTTGGAGGAATGCCATATCCTCATGTCCATCTTGGCCTACTAATTCAGTATAGCATTTCTTTCTACACCACAATGACTATGACAATGATAGTTAGGAATAGATTAAGGATGGGCAGAGCAGTTACTACCTGTAGTAGTACCTGTTACCATGGAGCCATGGTTGTCACCTTAGGAGCTAAAAAGGGCCTCATATGCAGCCCCTGACATCACCAAAGGGCCGCACATAATGTTCAACATATGTAATGCTTTAGAGGACTGTCAGGGCCTAACAGAGCAAATGAGGGTCAGAGATTGTGGACGTGCTACATTTTTGGCTGGGAATATGCCACAGAAGACCATACGAAACTGGGAACATGTTGTATGAAGCTGGTGAAAATCAATACTATTACCCTAATCAATGTTCCCAATACAGACTGCTGAGGTCTAAGTGCCGCACATCATATATCAAAGGGCTACGTGTTGGCTACCAGGGTCAAAGAGAAATTCAGGTGGGTGGAGGCTACTGTGTTTTGATTCTCTAACACCATTGCTTTTTGAGGGGTTTTCAATAAAGGTTGCAAAGGAAGTCCCACCAGCCTATAGAGGTCCTGTGATGTGTGCCCACCATGCAGGGTCTTAGATCTCTTTTGTCATGGTTACAGGTGATGCATAAATTGGATGTGGAAGAAACCTTCCGGATAGAGGAGAAGTCCCGAAAATATCAAGTGTATAAACTCAAGTTTCACTTCCTACCCTACGAATTTTACCGTCAGGAGAAATGTGTGAGACCCGAAGACATTGTCCGCTTTATGGAGACCAGGTTGGTTCTGTGTCATTGGGTGAGGGCATAGGATGAGTAGATCTTCTTTGCAAAGCATTTTGTTTTAACTATTTTCAAGACAAAATAAGAAACCTATTTATTACATTTCTCCAATACATTTACATTTCTTCATGTTTATTTCTTGCTGCAAGTACAAAAGTATACTGTTAGAGAAAAAATATAGTGTACCTAGTGTACCCTTCCTATTTGAGATAACCATACATTTCCCGGGAATTCAGTAGAATGTAGTAAATACTCATTTGAAATCTGTCTCCGGTCCATGCAACAAATGGCGCAACTTGCAATGTATTCATGTAACTGTCAGTAAGATGTATATGCATCTGTTGCAGAATTACCTCAAGGATTTTGTCTGCAAAATAATGTACTCCAACATGGAAGAGGTCCTTTTTACCTTCACTTTTCCTATCACCAATATGGTGGAACTTGGAATTTCTCCTAAAATAGGAAGTTCTGCTTATCCTCCTCCTCTCTCTTTATTGGAAAGTTTTTTTCCTTGTAGGAAGTGGGTAGCTAGTTTTGGCAGGTACCCACTCCCACTTCCACCAAGATCGCCAAGGCAATCCCAGCAATAGTTCCCCCCCCCCTCCCTCCCTGCCTGGAGCCTCCGGGGACACATCACAGGTCCCAGGAAGCTGCGGGACCATTCATGAAGCGCAACATGGCCACAGGGAGTCCTAGCCGAAATCCCAAAATTAGCAGGAAGACATCAGTGACCTGAACACCACCGAAGTACCACTCTGGGTGAAGACAGCGCTGGATCCCTGAACAGGTAAGTGTGTCTTTTTATTAAACGTCAACTGCTATTCTATTTGTAGCTGCTGACTTTTAATTCTTTTCAACCTGACTGAAGCTCCTCTTTGAGTTTGCTCCAAGAATGTAATACTGTCACACACGTTAACTATTTAAATCACCACACTCCCATCCAGCCAACCTAATGTAGACTTGAAAACTGCCTCCGCCCATGGGTCTCTGCCAAATCCACGCCCCTTGACATGTTTCGTTCTGCCCACCAGGGCTTAAAGTGGAGCTCCTCCCAACGGGGAAGTTCCACTTTAAGGCCTCCTCATCCCCTGCTCCCCATTAAGGATTGGCACCTTTGGGGAGTGGGTACCCGATTGTAACAGGTACCTGCTCCCACTTCTGCTGCGATCGGCTAGGCGATCGGAAGCAGAAGTTGTCTTGCCTCCCTGTTTTCTCGGACATGTGACTGGTCCCAGAAGATTACGGGGCCATATTGCTAGAAGAGTATCACAAATACTTTATTAAATCATCCCCAATGTCTTTTGAGCTCTGAAATTTGAAGCAAGTGATGTCAGCCCTGCCTACTTCATTCCTTATTGATGGCCTCTGCCCTCTCCTCACCTTTCTAGCTTTATTACCCCTCCTTACAAGATTTCCAATAGAATAAGTAAGTTAGTTTTTGTTTTTGTTTTACACTGATTGAACTGATATGACAAAATGCTTTAAATAGTTTAGTGAACAGACCAAAAGGGAGCAAAGAGGAGAAGTTCATTGTTTGGCTTTACATACACTTTTATTATATCATCTGTCAGTGGCACTTTATGGTACATATTCACCCTTTAAATTGCCTCGGGGCATGCAGTATAAAAAATATAACAACATTACTTATATGCTCTATGCTCAAGTTCAAAAAAACATTCTACTCTTGGGTTACATATTTCCTTCCTGTAAACTTTTCTGCCTTTTTAGATCTATAGCAGTACCAACATAATCTTCAAACTGCAGACTAAAGACATTCTAAGTAAAGTTTCGACAGCTGCCAGCTAATCTGCCAGTATGTTCTTGGATTGTGGGAGTTGACTAGAGCACCCCGAAGGGAACCCAAAAACAGAAGAACATACATGTTGGTAGTTTCTCTGGTGGGAATAATTAAAACTAATATCCCAGGCAAGGCACGTGCGCTAAGATAGTAAATCTCTAAATTGTTGATCATATATCTGTCTCATTGGCATTTTATTTAAAGTGGTTTTTAAACCAAAACCAAAAATGTAATATATTGCAGTTTTCCAGTCCCCGGATGTGGAGGCTGTATTCGTTTTCTATTTTTAGGCTTTTTTCCCTCTGTTTTCACCTGTTGATCTGGCCAGTAACACACCTCCTGTATTAGTGTGCCCCCACTCTGGATGAAGGAGTAACAGCCATTGGACAGCAGTATTGTCAGTCTAGGGGGAGGAGAGTGTTAGATGCACTGGCAGATTTAGATACATTAACAAATTGAAGGCAAACTTCAACTAATACTTTATAAGCAGTTACAGTAATTGTCAGTTCACATATATGCGGATTGGATGCAGTTTGAACCACATACACTCTGCATGACATGTGAAACAACATTGCTTCCTATGGTGCCTGTTCATATATGCCCGGTGCACTGGCAGTGCGCATTCAGTGTGGGTTGAAAAAGAGTCCTGTCCAATTTCTAAACCGTACATGTGTGAACAGGATAAAATCCTGACCTTATTCTGTCCTGAAGCTGATGTAAACCTGACATGAACCGCTGAACAACTACTTTTGTCAATTAGCTGTGAAACCTGAGATTCAGTCCGCAGCAGACATGTGTAAGGTTGTATATAAATAAAAGCTGACCATTGTAAGCGTGCTAAATGGTTTGTCTCAACCCTCTAACTGCCATGTCTGTAGGACAGCGTGTTCTGTTGAAAAAACAACAGACTTACTGGCCGAATCACCAGGTGAATATAAAAGACAGGAATCCTAAAAAGGAAAAAACTAATGCAGCCATCACATCTAAGAATTAGCTGCAATATAATAAGTGTTTGCTTTTGGGTTTACTACTGCTTTTAAGATACTATGCCTTCTGAACTCCATTCAGTAAAAAAAATATAACAACAATCCTTATATGCTCTATGCTCAAGTTCAAAAAAACATTGTACTCTTGGGTTACATATTTCCTTCCTCTAAACCTTGCTGCCTTTTTAGATCTATAGCAGCACTAACATACTCTACAAACTGCAGACTAAAGCACTCCTATCCCTGGCCTATCCCCATCCTCCTTCTCTCTCTTTACCTTTCTTTTAATACAGTTAGGTCCATATATATTTGGATGCAGGCACAATTTTAGATTTTTTCAGGTATTTACTAAAACATATTCCAGCTATAGTTCTATAATGGACATGGGCTGAAAGTGCACACTCTCAGGTTTAATTTGAGGGTATAGCTTGAATATGTTTTGTTAAATACCTGAAAAAAACTAAAATTGTGCCTGTGTCCAAATATATATGGACCTAACTGTATTTTAAGTTGCCTTGTTGACTATGAACAACACCCTTTATTCTGTCAGGTTATACTTTTGTATTCCTAAGACACTTATCTTGTTCCAATTGTACATCCTTAAGCTTTTATAACCTGTACAACATTTAAAGCGGTTGTAAACCCTTACATGTACCCAGTGAAGTGACTGGTCTCAGGTGATACACAGAGATTAAATCATCCTACATATGTTGTACCTGTTTATCTGCAGTATTCTCCTCTGAACATCCATTGAAAGTTCAGAATTTATAGAACTTGTAGGGGTGGAGGGCTGAACTTACATTCTGCAGAGCTCAATGAGGACAGCTGATTGGAGGGAAGGGACCCCCCTCCCCCTTCATACAGCTCACAGAAACAAATGACCTAAACCTAGTAGCGCTCCCCCACTTAGTGTCTGTTTGCCAATGTTGGCATTGTGCCCACAGTATCATTTGCGTTGGTTGGCAGAGCAGAATAGGACTGGCCGGGAGGGATTACTTTCACATAAGCCAATTAATTTACACGTATTGGGATTATTTTCAGCAAAGACATGTTGCAGAATACATTCTGGCCTAAATTTATTTTTATTTTTTTATTTTATTGGATATGTTTTATAGCACAAGTCAAAAATATTGTGTGGTTTTTTTGTTTGTTTTTTTTTCAAAATTGTTGGCCTTTTTTTGTTTATAACGCAAAAAAAAATCGCAGAGGTGATCCGATACCACCGAAAGAAAGCGCTATTTATGGGAAAAAAATGACAAATTTTATTTATGTACAGTGTTGCATGACTGCACAATTGTCAAAGTAACGCAGCGCCGTATTGCAAAAAATGGCCTGGTCAGGAAGGGGGGTAAATCCTCAGGAAGATGAAGTGGTTAAACATGTATTGCAATATGTATGAACTAATAATCTCTATTTTGTATTGCAAAGTTTGCTGGAAAGGGAATATAGCATTGTGCAGAGGGTTCCTTCAGGACTTCTAGTGTGGTTACACCCCTTTAGCACCTGATAGATAAATGCATGTACAAGCTATTGGGATTTGAGCACAGGTATATCTTGTTTCTTTTGGATTTATTAAAGAGACACTTAACCCCCGTCCCCCACTTCCTTATCAGTTTCGTAAGGTTACCCTCAATTCACTTAGGCTGGTCATACATTCTGCAATTTTCTGGGTTGAAAACCAATTTTCTTCCCTTCAAACCATGGTTGAAGGACCAATAACCACTTGATTCAAAACAGTTGGTGATGGTGGGGGAATCCCTGCCGTTGTGCTCTGAAAGCAGGAGGTTTCCCTACCATCATAATACAAAGATTACTGCTTCTGGCTATAACTAGCAAGTGATTGTACGAAAAAACCTGACAGCCTGGTTGTACTGAAGTTGATTGATGGGTTGACCTTAGTACAACCAGCATGCCAATAGATGGATTGAAATTCAGCCGGTTCCTTTCGATCCATCTTTTGCCGGATTTATTCACCTACCCAATGAATCCTGCATTGTGCTGTTACAATCCGCTGCCACAGAAGGGTCCAATGTCATCATCTTCTAACGTCATAGGGAGCCCGGCAGTCTCTTCAGGTTCTTGCAGCCACCTCTGATTCGCTGCCGGATTCACCCACTGGCCACTGTGTGCCTACTCCTGCAGCCTCCTGCTGGAAAGCTTTTGTATTACAGCTTGGAGGCTGTTGACCATATGTGGAAGTAGTGGCCTTCCATACTGGTTTACCTTGAATGACAACGGAGATGTAAACATGTTTTTCCAAAGAACAAGAAATCCTCATTTAAACTACACGTTGTTTGTTTTTATATTGGTTTTGAGATCACTATTTTAAGATCTTTATTTTGTATAGTTGCACTAATAGGGAGGTTTATCAGCACGTGGAGTGCTCAGGTCTTGGTTATTGCCCATATTCATTCTTTGAATCTGTGACTTTTGCAGGTTTTTCAAAATTATGCTCGATGCCATCAAGAGGAGAAGTGCAAAGCTTGCCTCCTACAGGGAGGTCACTGCCCGAAAAGCAACACGGAAAGATATGGATGAAGGAGCAGCGGGTGCCGGATCCCAGGTGAGTCAGTGGGACTCAACAGTTATCCATAGTAGGCCAAGTGACAGGTTAGCAGATACAATACGTACCTTGTACTTGGCTTCCCTTCTGTTTCCTGCAGTCCCTCTCTACTGCCAGAGCCCATAGAAAGCCACAAGTACAAAATTTATGGGGATGCCAAAATGTACATGGGACCCATGATTGGCTTCTTAGGCGGTGACTGGTGTATTGTGGGCACAGGGGCAAATTTCATGTTCTCCCTCGTAGTTGATTGTACTAGGGAGAATGCGGGATGCCAATTGTTCCTGCTATGTTGTGACCAAGGTATGCACAAACCACATTATTCCTACATTAATTTAAATAAAGTTTAACTTCTTTAAGTTGGGTTATCGCTCCTCTTTTCGATTTTTTTTTTTTCTTTCTTAAGATCCAATTTTAATTGCATCACTAAGATTTTTTTTTTTTTTTTTAAATATAAGAATGTTGCTTGATTACGACTTTCTTTCCTGGTCCAGAAGTAGCGCAGCCTAGAATTTCCGCTGGTCAGACATGTCTGCTTAAAACATAATAGTGATCCCAGATGTTTAAAATGCTGGGCATTGGAGGTAGTCCCTCGCAGCACTGGGGGGGGGGAAACTTTGATAGACAGGTACTCCAGCGGGAGGGGAGATGGGAGCTTGATGCTACCAGATCCCCAGGCCTCAATGAAAGTCTGAGTTTTGTACCATTTTTTTTACAAAGTTTGATTTTTGTTTCTTTTTCTCATTGATATGTGGGTTACGCATGGTGTATAGCCAGGGTTTTGTACGTTTACTCTTAAAAATGAAGTTGTAGCACATTTATTAAATGTGTAAAATTATATAATTAATAATAATAATAATAATAATAATAATAAAATAATAATAAAAATTATTTATTAAATAGAGTATTTATATTGGTGGTCATGGCATTGCTATTGTTATTGTTTTTTTGATATATATGTTTTTTGTTTTGATAACACTTTAACCACTTTCCTACAGGGCACTTATACCCCCTTCCTGCCCAGGCCAATTTCCAGCTTTCAGTGCTGTTGCACTTTGAATGACAATTGTGCGGTCATGCAATGCTGTACTCATATGAAATTTTTTATCTTTTTTTGTGACAGATAGAGCTTTATTTTGGTAGTATTTAATCACCTCTAGGTTTTTTATTTTTTCTTAAACAAACCAAAAACCACTGAAAATCTTGAAAAAAAAAACCCCCCTTTTTTTCTTAGTTTTTGTTATAAAATTTTGTAAATAAGTGATTTTTCTCCTTCGCTGATGTGCGCTAATGAGGCTGCAGTGATGGGCACTGATAGGCTGCACTGATGGACACTTGTAGGTGGCACTGATGGGCATTGAAAGGCAGCACTCATATATGGCACTGATAGGTGGCACTGATGCACACTGATAGGCGGCACTGACTGGCACTAATAGATGTCACTGATTGGCAGCACTGATAGGTGGCACTGACTGGCACTGATGGGTGACACTGAAAGACAGCTCAGATGGGCACTGATATGTGGCATTGATGTGCACTGGTAGGCACTGAAATGTGGCATTGATGTGGCACTGATGGGCACTGGCAGGTGGCATGGATGAGCACTGACAGCTGGCATTGATGTCCACTGACAGGTGGCACTGCTGGGGCTACACAGATCATCAGTGTACATGTCCCCTCTGAGGGATGCCGATTACTGGCTCTCCTCGTGAGCTGTCAGCATGACCACTCGTGAGGAGAGAAATGCCAATAACCGGCATTTCCCTCTTTACATGTGATCAGCTGTGATTGGACACAGCTGATCACATGATCGAGCTGACAGCTTCAGCTCTTTCCGTTGATTGGTGATCCTCGGACACAGCGCACCGCCGATCGCCGTGCTGCACGCTCCCGGAGAGAGAATCGCCTTGCGCCCGTCTGACCTCCCATTGATGATTCATTGACAGACATTATAAAAAACCCACGTTTTTTGTTTTTTTTCTTTATAATTGGAGTTATAAGAAATTTTCTGGACCGTTTTTTACAGGTAGTTCTGGTTTGAAAGCTGAACTCCAGGCAAAAGGCTGAATGCATTAACATATGCATTAACAACTGCTTTTCTGTTCAGCCAGTCTTGTGATTTATTTTCCCTTCCTAGATAGTTTACCCAGGTTTGTATCCCATACTGCAATACAGCTTTGGTAAGAAACTCAACTCCAGCCTGTTCATTGGACAAGAAAGAAACAGCTGCTGTTCCCCCAATCCTGTCAACATGTTCAATGTGTGACTGTTGACATTATGCATAAAAAAAGGAGTCCCAGCTGGCTCAGAGCGCATATACAGGTGAAAAGGTACAATATTCTCGGCTCAAAGTGTCCCAATCGAATCAGCTAATTAAGCCATAACACCTGCAAAGGGTTCCTGAGCCTTTAAATGGTCTCTCAGTCTGGTTCAGTAGGAATCACAATCCTGGGAAAGACTGCGGACCTGACAGTTGTGCAGAAAACCATCATTGACACCCATAAGGATGGAAAGCCTCAAAAGGTAACTGCAAAAGAAGTTGGATGTTCCCAAAGTGCTGTATCAAAGCACAATAATAGAAAGTTATGTGGAAGGAAGAAGTGTGGAAGAAAAAGGTGCACAAGCAGCAGGGATGACTGCAGCCTGGAGAGGATTGTCAGGAAAAGGCCATTCAAAAGTGTTGGGGACTTTTACAAGGAGTGGACTGAGGCTGGAGTCAGTGCATCAAGAGCCACCACACACAGACGGATCCTGGACATGGGCTTGAAATGTTGTATTCCTCTTGTCAAGCCACTCCTGAACAAACAAACAACGTCAGAAGCGTCTTACCTGGGCTAAAGAGAAACAGACCTGGTCTGTTGCTCAGTGGTCCAAAGTCCTCTTTTCTGATGAGAGCAAATTTTGCATCTCATTTGGAAACCAAGGACCCAGAGTATGGAGGAAGAATGGAGAGGCACACACTGCAAGATGCTTGAAGTCCAGTGTGAAGTTTCCACAGTCTGTGTTGATTTGGGGAGCCATGTCATCTGCTGGTGTTGGTCCACTGTGCTTCATTAAGTCCAGGGTCAACGCAGCCGTCTACCAGGAGATTTTGGAGCACTTCATGCTTCCTTCCGTAGACGAGCTTTATGGGGATGCTGACTTCATTTTCCAGCAGGACTTGGCACCTGCCCACACTGCCAAAAGCACCAAAACCTGGTTCAATGACCGTGGGATTACTGTGCTTGATTGGCCAGCAAACTCGCCTGACCTGAACCCCATAGAGAATCTATGGGGCATTGCCAAGAGAAAGATGAGAGACATGAGACCGAACAATGCCGAGGAGCTGAAGGCCGCTATTGAAGCATCCTGGTCTTCCATAACACCTCAGCAGTGCCACAGGCCGATAGCTTCCATGCCACGCCGCGTTTCCGTGTGAACTGGCCCTTTTTAAAATCCTTAATTAGTATCCACTTTTACTGCAACTGGTAGATAAACCACCTGTTACAGTCAATTTTAGCAGAGTAGGGGAATAATAGAAATCCCAAGGTAATATTTTTTTCTTTCTTTGTTCCTGTTGCATATTTTCCTTTACTCTTTTCACTTTTCTAGAGAAACCATTGTCACTATGACAGTAAGAGAGATGAAATGTAACAGAGCCCTGGATAGCAATACAATCCTTGCCTATTTCATCTTAAAAAAAAAAAAAAAAAAAAAAGCCTGCCCATGTACAGCAAGGTGACAGGGTCTTCCTCGTAGCTCTTTGCTCTTCTGCTGTTGGTGTGACTGCCTGTTATGTATCCTGCAGTGCCTGGGCCTAGCGGCCCAAGCAGGGGCAGACTGACAATTCATGGGGCCCCCGGGCAATAGGGGATCATGGGACCCCTGTGTCCTTGCCCAAACTCAAAAAAGCCTATCAAAAAGGTACCAGGGGCATCTCATGGGGCCCCCTACTGACCCTGGGCCCTCGGGCAGTGCCCGAGTTTCCAAATGGTCAGTCAGCCCCTGGTCCTGAGTACTATCACATAGAGGAGTGATGTCCACACTCCACCTGGTTTTCCATGCAGCCAGTCATGGTGTCAACTGCCAAGGAACAATTTACTATGAGGAAGCATGGGCAAGGTGATTGTCTCGATAATGACGGATCACATGGCCGATATCTTACGAAATCACTGTGCAAGTATGCGCACATCAGTAAATGCAGGTTTACAATAGTAGTGTATTCTAGGAGACCTGCCTCTGCAGACTGATAGCCAGCAATTATAAACTGCTCGTTTCATTCTGCTAGACCCAATGCACAGCAATCTGTTACTTCTCTAATCCTCCGGCTGGTTCTTTCACAAAGCAGAGCACAATACGGCAGAGGTTGTGACGTTTAGTGATCGCTTTTAATGGCTTTGTTTTTATTGTTGGACTCAAGATCACAGCCAAACACTGAGCATTATTATTTTTTATTTATATTTTAATGAGTTGCATGATGTGTAGACCTTTGAGAGAATCTTGGGAGCACAGAACTGTGTTGTCTAACAAAGTAAATCCATTACGATGGAACTGTATTGGTCCACAAAGACACTATTGTAAGAAAACTGCTGTTCCTTGACCTCCCGGCCCTTTAAGGGGTTTCAGATGCCGGGAGGCGGGGCGGGGTTTTAGGGTCATGTGACCGTCGTGATTTACTGTTGCGGCGGTCGCATGATCGGAAAAGGTCCTGATCACAAGGGGAGATTGGGACCTTTCCGTGACACACCGACATATGTGCTGGGTGCGCGCTCTCAGCACGTGTTTTCAAATGGTACACAAATATGCGGCCGCTCGGCGTCAAGGCCCAGCCGCCAAGAGGCCGCATATTTGCGTACTGTCGGCATCAAGGGGTCAAATAGGGCTTAAAATTTCAAGTCCTGAGCTACTAGCCAGGCCTTAGTTACTCGACACCTACAAACGCACACAAACAGAGACACCTGTACACACACAGACATGTATACACACACATACACACACGCACAGAGACACATGTGTACACACACACACACACACACACATACAGACATGTATACACACACAGGCACGTACAGCCACGCATACACACACACACAGATACATGTACATACACAGAAATACTCACACACAGACACATGTACATACATACACAGACATGTGTACACATAGACACCTGTACGTACATACACACACACACATGTACATGCGCGCAGACACATGTACAGATACACACATGTACGTACACACAAACACATGTACAATTGTACATGCATACAAACACACACCACCCTCCCCCCCATAAAAAGCTGCAGTACTTCGTTGTTCACTCACAGATCCAGGTACTGCACTCTAGGGGGAGGCAGAGAGCACAGCACACACTCCTTGCTTTGCTTTCACTGCGCTCAGCTATTGAGCAGTTTGACGGCTCCCAGTGCCAATGACAGATCCGGCCTGAGCTCCGAGCCTGCTCAGCAAGATGGCCCTGGGGGATACACTCGCCCCCACCATAATTTCCACTTGCCATTTGCGAGCAAGCGAGTGGAAATTTCAAGCCCTGGGTTAAAGGATAAGTTCACCTTTTGGGAGTATGTTACATGTTTCACCCATTTTTAGGGTGGAACATGTTACATGTTCACATAGCTGCAGCTGTGCCTGCCGCCCCCGCCCCCCCCCCTTTCTATCTGTTAGATTTGAAAACAGTGTTCTCTGGGGCTCTGCCCACATGGCCGCGTCACTCACTCACAGTGTTCTATGAGTGCCTACGAGTCCCAGCAGCCTTAGCGGCTGTCGGCTTGTAGTTTTCAATGAACTATCGCGGTGCTGTAGAGCGCCATGGTAGTTCATTTATTCTTCCTGTTAGAATATTTCCTTGTTCGAACATCCCGTACGGCAAGCAGATATTCTGACAGGTCTGCAGGAGACCTGCATGGCACCAGCGATCTACTGATCACTGGTGCAATGCTTTCCAGGCTCCTTTTGGACAAAAATTATAAATGCATGTCTTTTTACCTGCCAAAAAATGTGCATTTATTATTTTTGTCAAAAAGGTGAACTTATCCTTTAACCCTTTCTTACTCCGGGATAATTAAACCTAGATGCCCAGGCCTGATTTGGTAGGCAAACAGAACCAATATAGACATTTTATATCTGTGATGTTAGCTGTTTAAGCTTCCAACGGAAATCTACTTCTGCCTATCCAATCCTGAGATTTACACAGCTCTGCCACATAGACAGATCCCCTTGCCTGTCAACAGGTCTGTTCTGACAGGCCGAAGGAGAGATAAAGTAATGGGAGATAAAGGGTTTGCACAGATGTGCAGGACCCCTTTTTTTTTTTTTTTAACATACTTGCCATAACTGAAACCTGGCTTCAAGATTGTGACTCGGCTTCTCCTCCTGCCCTCTCCCATGGAGACCTCCACTGGACGCACTCACCCAGACCCAGTGGACGGAAAGGAGGTGGAGTTGGAAGGTGCTCTCTGGTGATAGAAGGAATCCAAGTCCTTCCTACCCCTCCCTCTCTTCTTTCCAGACACACTGTATTCGTCTATTTTCTCCAATTTCTCTGAGGATTGCAGTGATTTAGCGTCGTCCTGGACCGGTGTCCTGCTTTTTTGATGACTTCTCTGCCTGGATACCCTACTTTCTCTCCTCTGAAATGCCCACTATCATTCTTGGTGACCTTAACAGCCCAGCCCAGCTTAACCTCTTATTTTGACCTGTGTGTCAATTAACACACAGAGTAGGGCTCGAGAGCAGGCACGCACGAGTGCCCCCATAGCAAGGGGCTTGCTGTGGGGCTCTCGGCAGGGGGGAGCAGCCAAGAGCGCAGGCAGGGGATCCAAGAAGAAGAGGATCAGGGCTTCTCCGCAAAACCCTTGCACTGAGCAGGTAAGTCTAGCATGTTGTTGTATTTACGATCACTTTAAATAACACACTTACAGACCTTTTCCCTCCCCAGCCTGTGAATGGAGAAAAAGCACACTGATTATCTCTTCTCTGTCACTCTGCTCTCTCCCCCTATCAGCATGTTGTTAAGAGTGCCACAGCACAGCGGGCTGGCTCTTTATGCTTCTTCCCTTTCTTCTTTCTACTGTACAGGTGATTGTGAGTTGTACCAGGTAATTACATCAATTGCATTTGTCCCTCATATGTGCCTTGAGTTACTGAAATAAGCTGAGTGGAGGCTCAGCCACTGTTGATGGAGAATATTACCAGGGAGGAACCTTATGGAAAATGTGAATCTAGCCTGTAGATGTTATATGATTTCCCATAATGTACAGAAAGTCATGTCTGTTGCATGTCTCATCAGGAGAGCCAGGAGCTTGACAATGAAGAAGCTATTGTGGATGCAGAGGCCGATGAAGGAGATGCAGATGCTACTGATGCAAAGAGAAGAGAGAAACAAGAGGAGGAGGTTAGTATTCTCATTTTTAGGCCTTTTTCAGGCTTGCAAATAAGGACATTTAGGCAGCTTAAAAGAACTCCAGTACCTGCAGCTCCCTTTATGAGGGGTTAAAGGAGGAGTATAGCCAAAGCTTTTTTTTGGTGTACTTTTTCCTATGGATCAAAGGAATGCCGTTCTTTCTGCACTCCTGTGACCTGTTTTCAGCCAACGGCGGGCTAAAACCCACTGTCAGCTGATGTCACTCAGCCGGTTCAGGCTCTGAAAAGATCCCGACCATATGAACAAGATCCACCTAGAATCCTGGTGCAGCCCCTGGCTCAGCCTCTCAGCGATGTACCGAGAGCATGAGCCAGTCTCTGCCGCCCCCTCCGCAGAGCAGTGCTCCAGTAAGTGTTTTTTTTTTTTCCTTTATAATACTTCTCTTTTAAGTCCAATGAGGTGTATGCCACTTCGTGAACTTAGCTTTTTTTTTTTTTTCTCTTTTTTTCTTGTTTGTTTTTTTTTGTTTGCGTTTTTACATTTTTGCTGAGCTTTGGGAGTGTACAACTGTCGCTATACTTCTGATTCTGGACCTATTGGTCTCGGGTCCTGCAGCTGCTGTGAATGGACAGTGGAGGCAAAGGGCAGGCAGAGCGACTGCTGTGTAGCAAAACACATCTCTCCTGTTAGAGTGCTGGGAGTATAGCGATAATACGGCAGCCAGACTCATCCACCTTACCAAGCGCTCCGCTTCCGCCACCCCCCTCTCTGCCAATCCCTCCACTGGCTTCCGATTGCCCAACGGATCAAATTCAAAATCCTAACACTGACGAAGCTGTCCATAATACTGCCCGAAACTACATCACCGACCTAATATCCAAGTACCACTCTAGACGCACTCTCCTCTCCTCACAAGACCTCCTTCTCTCTAGTTCCCTAGTCTCCTCCTCACATTCCCGCCTCCAGGACTTCTCCAGGGCGTCACCCATCCTCTGGCACTCCCTGCCCCAACCCATCAGACTGTCACCTACTCTCCTCACCTTTAGGCGCACCCTGAAAACCCACCTCTTCAGGGAAGCCTACCCCACCCCCTGCTAATTACCAACGACCTCCACTTTTCCTACCACTCCATCCCCCACAGCTATTTCCTCCCCTACCACTATCCCCTCCCTCCTAGATTGTAAGCTCCAAGGAGCAGGGCCCTCGAACCCCTCGTGTATCGCATTGTATTGTTATTGTACTGTCGCATGTTCTGTCTCCCATTGTAATGTACAGCGCTGAGCGAACTGTTGGCGCTTTATAAATACTGTATAATAATAATAAGTGAATAAAAGAGATAAATCTGCGAGGTAACATACACATCACTGAACTTAATCCCTTAAAAACAAACATCTGTTTTTTAAAGTGCTCTAATTCCTGGAGTGCTGCTTTAAGCAATTGCCTGGCACTCTTACAGGTTTTACACCATGATCAACATAAATAATGTAGCAGTGAACACTTAGATATCTTACAAGTTGCTTTGCAGATTTGTATGCATTATACTGTTACATGGTCATGTTAATCACATCTATCATAAGACATTACAACTAGTTATAGCAGTTTTAGGCTCCATGCATATGTGGCGTTTTGATAACGCTGGTACTGTAAGCTGTGTAAAGTCATGTTGAAAACGTGAGGTTATCAGCTTTTTTTTTGCATTAGCGTTGTGCCACGTTTAGCTGCGTTTTCCACGTTTTGTGTTTTTTTAGCTTTTTTTTTTCAACCCAAAAAAAAATTTTTTTTCTTCTTGCTAAAAAATAAAAGTCCAAAAATGCCGATTTGCGGTGTTTTACTGCGTTTTTCAGCGTTAGAGCGTTTTTACAGCTAAAAAACTCCTCTAGAAACCCACTAGTCCTGAGTTTTTTTTTCCAGCCAAAAAACGATGATTGCAGTCTGTGTACATGGACACATAGGATAACATGCTGGGGGGTTTTCTGGCTGTAGAAAAAAATGTCAAAAGCCAAAAACAGTCGCTGTAAAAAGTCCAGTGTGCATGAGGACTTATTTCTCCCAAAAAGACAGCCCAACTGCTCACTTACTAAAATTCGAGGTATCAACAGAGCTCTAAATACCGAATGAGCTGTAAAGTAAGTCAAAACATGCCCTGTTCTAGTTGTTTGACATCAGAGCTCAGCGCATCGGGTTCAACAGAGCCCTTAACCAAACACGCTGTACAATAAGGAAGCTCTGAGTGGGCTGGTCATATACACACAATACAAATCTGCATTCACTGCAATGGCAAAGAATTGTACGTAAGTGTATCTGTGTAGACCCAGATACACTTTAGTATGGTAGTCCCTGGGGTGGATTGCATTTGCATGCCAGCTATATTCCCCATGGGGACTAACATGCTTAAGCCGGCCATAGATGGATCAAAATTCGGCTGGTTCAGCAGGGACCGGATGATTTTTGATCCATCTATAGGCAGGCTGGCTATTCAGAAGTCAATGTCTCAATCGACTTTTGTACAACCAGCTTGTTGGAAAATTTTTGCTCCATCAGCGCCGCCGGCCATGCTTATAAGTGTGTTCTGATGACGGGAGAAGTCTCCCTGCTATCAGAATACAATAGCTTCGTGGGAGGGATTCATTTTCTTTCATTCAACCCACTGGATGAACGAAAGAAAATGAATCCTGTGTTGCCTGCATTGGTCACCAATCCAAATGAGCCCTTGTGGTGCTAGATTCTAAACCCAATCAACTTCTGAAACGTGTAAACCGATCTCTCAGTGATTCAGTTTGTTTATTTATTTATGACAGGTACTTATATAGCGCCGTCAATTTGCGCAGCGCTTTACATATATATTGTACATTCACATCAGTCCCTAACCCTCAAGGGGCGTACAATCTAAAGTCCCTAACTTACATTCATACATATACATACTAGGGCCAATTTAGACAGGGTCCAATTAACCTACCAGCATGTCTTTGGAGTGTAGGAGGAAACCGGAGTTTCCGGAGGAAACCCACGCAGGCACAGGGAGAACATGCAAACTCCAGGCAGGTGGTGCCGTGGCTGGGATTTGAACCAACAACCAAGTACTGCCAGGCAGAAGTGCTAACCATTTAGCCACTGTGCTGCCCAATTGACTATATATCTTCTTTTTGTTCTCTTCTTAATAATAATAAATTATATGTACAGTATAAAGTGTTTCTGATCATCTGCAGTAGGTTCTGTAATGAGAATTCTGCCTCAGTGAACAGAAGTTGTTTTCTTTAGACCTTGTACATACAGCTTTAGCTTGCATGTCAAGCTTTACCGGGCAATTTGCAAAGCTTTCAGACAAGAGCATACTTTTGAAGCCTTTAAACCACCATTTCTGGGAGATTAAATACAGACCACAGTGGGAATACTGACTTTTTAAATAACCTGCTAGCTGACTTCAGTAAGCTTTGGCACTATTTCAAACTTTCTGGGCGGTGATATTAAACATGCTGAAGGCAATGTAGACAGGTCCTTATTAGATCAGCAAGACCAGGAAGATGGCTTTAGGTCTACAGAAAGACAGACAGTTATGGACAGGTTATAAAATTAGTCTGATTGCGGTTTCCTGGTTGATAACACCCCTTTCCCTCTCTCTGACCACAACCTCATTACGTTCTCCATCTCCCGGTCCTCTAACACCTCCCCGAACCTCAAACCATCACCAGCCGTAACCTCCGCAACCTGAACCTGGCCCCTCTCCACTCTGCAGCTGACCGTCTGTACGACAGTATCCTCCCACTGTCATGCCCTGACCTGGCCACTTCTGCGTACAACGACTTGCTATCAGCTGCCCTAGACTCCTTAGCACCCCTGACCACACATAGCATTAGACCCCTTCAACCCTGGCGGAACGACCACACTAAAAATCTTAAACGACGCAGTCGTGCGCTGGAGCGATTATGGTGTAAAACCAGATCCCCTCGAGCTTTCTCCCTCTACAAATCCGCCTTCCTCACTTACACCTCCTCCCTCCATGCCGCCAAACAAGCCTACTTCGTTACCCTCATCAACACCCTCTCCACTTGTCCTCGCCGGCTCTTCTCCACTTTCAATTCCCTACTCTCTACCCCCCCACCCAGTACCTCACTCACCGCCCACAAGATTGCCAATTACTTCCAAAACAAGATTGATGCAATCCGTAAGGACATTGCCAATGCTCAACCTACCTCCCCACCTAGCCTCCCTCCCACTATAACCCCATCAACTCTCCCCTCCTCTGACCTCGCAACAGCCCTGCCCCCCCCCCCTCCCCACACCTAACATCCCGCACACCTTATCCTCCCCAACACTCCGCTCCTTCAGCACTGCTACCACTGAGGAGGTCACTAAGGTCTTCTCAGAAGCCCACCTCACCACTTGCCTCCTTGACCCTGTCCCCACAGAACTCCTCTGGTCACCCTCCTCCTCCATCCTACACTCCCTCACCCATATCTTCAATCTCTCCCTCTCCACTGGCGCATTCCCCTCCCTCCTAAAGCACGCGCACATCACTCTCATACTCAAAAAACCCTCCCTGGACCCCACTGACCTGGTCAACCTTAGATACATCTCCCTGCTGCCATTCACTTACAAGCTCCTTTAGCGCTTGGTCTACAATCGCCTAAGCGCCAACCTCACTGACAACAACCTCCTCGATCCACTACAGTCTGGCTTCTGTCCCCTACACTCCACAGAAACCGCCCTACTCAAACTCACCAACAACCTGCTAACTGCCAAAGCTAATGGCCACTACTCAGTCCTCTTACTCCTCGACCTTTCCGCGGCCTTCAACACAGTTGACCACCCCCTCCTCCTTAATAAACTACACTCCCTTGGCATCAGAGACTCCGCTCTCTCCTGGCTCTCCTCCTATCTATCCCAACGCTCCACAGCGTTACCTATAACGCCACCACCTCGCCCTCTCTCCCCCTCTCTGTTGGGGTCCCCCAAGGCTCTGTCCTCGGGCCCCTTCTCTTCTCCATCTACACCTCCTCCCTCGGCAAACTAATACACTCCCACGGCTTCAACTACCACCTGTACGCCGATGACACGCAAGTTTACCTCTCCGCCCCTCACCTCAACCCCTCAGTCTCCGCTTGTATCGCCCACCTACTGAACGAGATATCAGACTGGATGTCGTTACATTTCCTCAAATTGAACTTTTCCAAAACTGAGCTCCTCATTTTCCCCCCAGCCCGTGCCCCCCACCCCACCCTCTCCATCACGACCAACAACGCCACCATCACTCCCACCCGCAAGCCAAAGTCCTAGGTGTCACTCTTGACTCAAACCTGTCCTTCCAACCCCATGTCCAATCATTGGCAAACTCATGCAGGCTCCATCTCCGCAACATCTCCAAAATACATACGTTCCTAACCCCAGACACTACTAAACAACTCGTTCGCTCATTTATTATCATTTATTTATTATCTCACATCTCGACTACTGCAACTCCCTCCTCACCGGCCTACCTCATCACAGACTATCCCCGCTTCAGTCTATCCTGAACTCAGCGGCCAGACTCATCCACTTCACTAACCGCTCCGTATCCGCCATCCCCCTCTGCCAAACCCTCCACTGGCTTCCGACTGACCAACGCATTAAATTCAAACTACTAACACTGACATACAAAGCCATTCATAACGCTGTCCCAAACTACCTTACCAACCTGATACCAAAATACCACCCTACCTGTAATCTTCGCTTCTTACAAGACCTCCTACTTTCTAGCTCCCTGGTCTCCACCTCCCACGCCCGACAGCAGGACTTCTCCAGGACTTCCCCCATCCTCTGGAACTCTCTACCCCAATCCATCAGACTGTCACCTTCCCTCCTCACCTTCAGGCGCACCCTGAAAACCCATCTCTTCACGGAAGCCTACCCCACCCTCACCTAATTGCTGATCTACACTCTACACTCCTCCTACTACTCCATCCCCCACAGCCACTTCCTCCTGTACCACTATCCCCTCCCTCCTAGATTGTAAGCTCGAAAGAGTAGGGCCCTCGAACCCCTCGTGTTTTGTCTTGTTACTGTATTGTCTCATGTACTTTCCCCCACTATAATGTACAGCGCTGAGCAAACCTTTTGGCGCTATATAAATAATGTATAATAATAATAAGCAGGCACCAGGCAGTATCAGGAGGATATTGGTTTCCCCCACCTTCCTGCATAAATGGACCAGTTACGTGATCCAAGCCTTCATTTGTTTGGCTGAAGTTGAACTGAAAGACCTTGCATGGTGGTTGGATCATGCCTGCAGGATGGTTGGATCATGCCTTGCATGATGGTTGGATCATGCCTTGCATGATGGTTGGATCATGCCTTGCATGATGGTTGGATCATGCCTTGCATGATGGTTGGATCATTCCTGCATGATGGTCGGATCATTCCTTGCATGATGGTCGGATCATTCCTTGCATGATGGTCGGATCATACCTTGCATGATGGTCGGATCATACCTTGCATGATGGTCGGATCATACCTTGCATGATGGTCGGATCATACCTTGCATGATGGTCGGATCATACCTTGCATGATGGTCGGATCATACCTTGCATGATGGTCGGATCATACCTTGCATGATGGTCGGATCATACCTTGCATGATGGTCAGATCATACCTTGCATGATGGTTGGATTACGCCTGCATGGCATACTGATCCTCTGTTGCCTATGACAAAGTTGGGCTGCAAATAGCAAAACATCTCTTTAACAGAACCATGTTGAATTTGCAGTCTGTAAATTTTACTGTTCACCAGTTCTGGGCATGTTGGAAGGGGAATACATTAAACAAAATTAATCTGGCCATTAAAAATGATTTTTTATGGTGAACTACAAATACTAAACCTATATTCTACAGAGCCAGCCCTGCCATTTTTGGTGAGCTTTTCATTATTTTGTCAGGTGGATTATGAGAGTGAAGAGGATGAGACCCCGGAGGATGAAGAGCAGCAGGATGAGAACAAACCTCAGGAGGAAGAACTTGACTTACAGGTGCTTAATGAGGAGGAACCCACTTCATTACCCTTGGCAAGATCCAAAAAAGAAAAATAATCAAACAGGCCTCCCCAAAGAAGTGCTGGCAGAAAATCGGATCAATGATGTCCTGAGCATCAACACTGCTGTTGAAGAGTACTCGTATGATACTGACAAGAGCCTGTGGTGTGAGGTAAGATGCCTCGGGTTTATATATTGCTAGTATTGTCCTGGTAGTCCCCTCCATGGGTACAGTCTTAAGCTGAACATTGGGCTGATCAAAAGAATCTGACAGGATTCCTCCCTATCCACCCTTTCGCGGTGGATGAGGGAATCCCCACCCCGCTGCGTTTTTGTATTCTGAAAGTGTGGCTCCCCTGCTGGCAGAATACAGAATACACTGATGAATGCTGCAGCCGAGTGTGTAACACAATCAGTTCTGATTTCTCCTTTGTTCTCTCTTTTACTTTGTGGTTTTAAGTTTTGCAACAGTCGGTCCTGAATGGTATGTGCGACTAGAATAGAAATGGCACAAGCCCTTTCATGTAGTATTTTAAAATCCAAAACAAATTTCTTAAAATTGCACTTTTTTTTTTTTTACATCTTATCAGTTGTTTTCAGGAGCATAGTAAACATATGTGCTGCTGGAAAGCTGGGCATTAATACAAACCTGCTCTGTGCCCTGAATGGGGAAAGCATGTTTGCTTTAAAACCCACCTACAGGATTTACAAAAAAAAAAAAAAAAGAGTACCCTTACAGTGTTACCATGACCATGTTGCTATTATGCAAGCTCTTGGTAGGTTTCCTTGCTTTGGTGTACATGCTATGGCTGGTGTGTCTAACTCCATAGTCATACTCTCCAACACCTGCATAGGTGTTCAGAGCAAATATATATATATATATATTGTGATATTGTGTGATTCACCACCATAGTGCTGTGCAGTGGGCATTCCAGAAATTAAATTGTCATACCGTTAATAAGTATATATATATGAAGGGTATGACAATTTAATTCCCGGAATGCCCACTGCATAGCACTGTGGTGGTGAATCACACAGCCATTCACACTCGAGCATGTTCTCACCTGTTCTAACTTGCACTCACCTGGGTTACAGACCAGTTTTTATGGAGTAGTAGAGGAAATAACACGTGTGCATTGTGCTGTTCGTGGAAAACGAGTGACAGGAATTTGGAGCAGTGGATTAACATAAAAATTTGATTGAAAATTGGCATAAGTGCAAGTGAAACTTTTAGCTCTGTTACAACATTCTTGTGGTGAACATTCCATGAAGAAATCAATTGTTGTTGAATGGCATAGGTGGATAAGAAGGGCAGGTGGGAGGATGTCCACGATGATGCATCAGTGAGCCAACATTGTTACTTGGAAATTCTCAAAAGGTTATGGGAATCTCTTCGGAGGAAAAGAACCAAACTGTGACCTGACAAGTGGATTCTCCACCACAACAATGCTCGTGCACATGATTCGTTAAGTGTTTGCGAGCTCCTGATCCAGAAATCTATTCTGAAACTTGACCAACCACCTTATTCCCCTAACCTAGCACCCTGTGACTTTTGTCTGTTTCCAAAATTTAAAAAAAAATCCTTAAAAGGACACAGATTTGACTTCCAGTGCGCTATGACAAAGATACTGTGCAGCATTCAGGAAAATGAATTCTGGGAATGTTTCTGGCGCAGTTGTCTAGAAAGAAAACTACGTAGCATCACAAGGGGTCTACTTTGAATGGGAAAACAGTTAAAATGTCACACCTCATGTATGTGTGTGTGTGTGTGTATATATGTATATATATATATGTGTGTGTGTATGTATGTATGTATGTATGTATATATATATATATATATATATATATATATATATATATATATATATATATATATACATACACACGTGTGTGTGTCTACTACACACTCTTGTTACAATATTGGGTTTCTGTGATGTAAAAAAAATTAGACAGATAAATCATTTCAGAACTTTTTTTCCACCTTTTATTGTAACCTGTAAACTGTACAACTCCGTTGCACAACAAACCGAAATCTTTAGGTGGAGGGAATTAAACATAAACTAAAATAATGTGGTTGCATAAGTGTGCACACCCTCTTATAACTGGGGATGTAGCTGTGTTCGGAATTAAACAATCACATTCAAAATCATGTTAAATAGGAGTCGGTACACACCTGTCATCATTTAAAGTGCCTCTCATTAACCTAAAATAAATTTCAGCTGTCCTAGTAGGTCTTTCCTGACATTTTCTTAGTCGCATCCTACAGCAAAGGCCAGGGTCCACAGAGAGCTTCTAAAGCATCAGAGGGATCTCATTGTTAAAAGGTATCAGTCGGAGAAGGGTACAAAAGAATTTCCAAGGTATTAGATATACTATGGAACATAGTGAAGACAGTCATCATCAAGTGGAGAAAATATGGCGCAACAGTGACATTACCAAGAACTGAACGTCCCTCTAAAATTGATGAAAAGACAAGAAAAAAAACTGGACTGGGAGGCTGCCAAGAGGCCTACAGCAACATTAAAGGAGCTGCAGGAATATCTGGCAAGTACTGGCTGTGTTGTCCATGTGACAACAATCTCCCGTATTCTTCATATGTCTGGGCTATGGGGTAGAGTGGCAAGACTGAAGCCTTTCCTTACGAAGAAAAACATCCAAGCCCGGCTAAAGTTTACAGAAACACATCTGAAGTCTCCCAAAAGCATGTGGGAAAATGTGTTATGGTCTGAATAAACCAAGGTTGAACTTTTTGGCCATAATTCCAAAAGATATGTTTGGTGCAAAAACAACACTGCACATCACTAAAAGAACACCATACCCACAGTGAAGCATGGTGGTGGCAGCATCATGCTTTGGGGCTGTTTTTCTTCAGCTGGAACTGGGGCCTTAGTCAAGGTAGAGGGAATTTATGAACAGTTCCAAATACCAGTTAATATTGGCACAAAACCTTCAGGCTTCTGCTAGAAAGCTGAAAATGAAGAGGAACTCCATCTTTCAGCATAACGACCCAAAGCATACATCCAAATCGACAAAGGAATGGCTTCACCAGAAGAAGATTAAAGTTTTGGAAAGGCCCAGCCAGAGCCCAGACCTGAATCCAATCGAAAATCTGTGGGGTGATCTGAAGGGAGCTGTGCACAGGAGATGCCCTCGCAATCTGACAGATTTGGAGTGTTTTTGCAAGGAATATTGCCAAGTCAAGATGTGCCATGCTGATAGACGCATACCCTAAAAAAGTGAGCTTTGTAATAAAATCAAAAGGTGCTTCAACAAAGTATTTTAAGGGTGTGCACACTTATGCAACCATATTATTTTAGTTTTTTTTATTCTTACTTCCCTCCATCAAAGTATTTCAGTTTGTTGTTCAACTGAGTTGTACAGTTTATAGGTCACATTAAAGGTGGAAAAGTTCAGAAATGATTTATCTTTGTCTCCTTTTTTTTTACATCACAGAAACCTGACATTTTAACAGGGGTGTGTAGACATTTTATATCCACTGTGTTTATAGTATGTATGTGTATGTATGTATGTATGTATGTATGTGTATATATATATATATATATATATATATATATATATATATATATATATATATATATATATATATTTATATGGGATTGATTCTTGGCCTTACTACAGGTACACAGAACAAATCTGCAATTGTCAGGAGTAGGAGAATGTATTTATTTATTTGGTGGTGGGTTATGGTAATGGCAGAAAAATATAAGGTTAAATATAAAACAAATTATAGTTTTGTTATTTTGAGCCCTTTGTTCTTACATAATAAAAGAACAGGAAATATAAAATTCTCATTTCCCAGCAAATGAAAGCCCAATCTGTCCTGAAAAAGTTGCAAAATAGGGTCTGGACGTTGAGGTTAGTTTTGACCCTGGTCATAGAGGGGTTGCGGTAAGGTGTTTAGCTGTCAGCATTCAGTGAATGCAGCCTTCTTACAGGATTTTATTAAACTGATTTTACAGTATGTATACATAGGTTTTATGTGTATTCCTCTTTCTCTTCCCTACAGAATGTTTTGTTTTCCAAAATGTGCTTTTTGTCTTGTCAATGAGAGAGACCGTCTGTCATTTACAGGAGGTTTGGACACCAGTAAACAAAGTGTTGGCCAGTCCAGAATAAATCCTCCTACCATCTTGCCTTGGTTTTTTATTAGTATTGCAGGAGAATAGACATCTCTTAAGCAGCTCCATTTTCTTAAAGACAAACGCATTTTTTTTCTGCTAGCCCCTTTTTTTTCAGTCAAATTTTCTTTTCAGTCATGACCCTTCTCTATATTCCTGTAGGATCTCTCTCTTGCAGTTATCTGGTATGGCTGTCCTTGGCTTGGCTTGGAGTGCCACATCTGCACCCAGCTGGACTGGACTTTACAGGGGTAGGCTGGAAGTGACCTTAGGGCAGTGGGTTTATTTCCAGACTCCATTAGCTGCAGGGCACTTTAGGTCTAGAGCCACTGGCATTGCCTCAGTAATTGCCCTGTCCCCGAAGACTCACTTTGCATGTAAGATAATGGAGCTCAGCATTGGAAAGCTAATTTATTTATCTAGGACCCTGAGTGGCTTTAAAATTCCCACCAATTTTCACTGAGGAAGGGTTAACATTGTCGGCTACTGCCATTGTTCACTGAGTGGAGAGCTGTCTTTTTTGCCATACAGGTTCACAGAAACCTCTCTCTGTTGTTGCTCCAGCTTGCAAGTGCTATGTGGATCTCTAATCTGTTCCTCTAATCTTTAATCTGTTTGCCTACAGAGACTCCTCCAGCTATTTGATCCTCATTTGCTACCAGCTGTCTGGGATTTGTAAGTCTACGCCTTGCATTGCCCTACTGCCACATGGCTGCAACATATTTGATTAACTAGCGGGGTGGGGGGCTGCTCCAAGATGCTTGCAAAAAATGCTTTTGGACCACTTACATCCCTGACACATGGGATCAGAAAGTCGTATCCTAGAGATACATTCTGGAGTTTTGCATCAAGCCCTCACCTCTGACATTCATATATCACCGCACAGATTAGCAGATTTGCATTGCTCCCTCTTGGGTTTTTTGGACCAAAGGATCTTTGCTCCAGTTCCTGTGACAGAATGGTTACACGGGTTTGTACTCCAGTCCATTCACCACTCCCAGGCCCAAAAGGGGTATCCACCCCATCTTGGATCTTAAAACTCTAATTGTTCATTTGAACCAAGAATTTCCTCATGTAATCCACTACTTGTGTAATTGCCTTTGTTCACCAAGGGAACTTTCTTGCTTTTGTGTACATTAAGACAATGTAAATGCATGCCACATCTTCTCAGCGAGTCAATGTTTCCTACATTTAATTTTTTTGTGGGACCTTGGTACTGCTGTTCTGCATCTCAGATGTTCACCAAAGTGCTGGCCAAAGTGATATGTTCTCTTGGCATCCCCATTGTGGGATATTTAGATGATCGCTTGCTGAAGGGACAGTCAGCATGGGCTCTGTCAGACAATGTAGCCTTGATTGATTGCCCTGACATTACAGTGCTTAGGATGAATTCTGGACCTTTAGAAAACAGAGTTTGAAGCATCTGGGTCTAGTCCTGGACTACTAAGAGCACAGTGTTTCTTCTACAGGACAAACTTTAGACTCAGATTTTAGTTCTTGATTTCAAGAGTTGTCCGACTCTCCTCTTTTGCATGAGTCTTGGGTCTGATGGTAGCCTTTTTTTGGGGTAGTCCCATTTACCCAGTTTCAATCCATACCTCTACAACCCAATCTCATGCTGTCTCAGAACAAATTTGAGTCCCTGGACAGACCGAGAAGTCAGAAGACGGTTAAGTCTTGCCACAGCAAGAGAGATTCTGTTCTGGACAGAATTTTACGGTACCAACTTGTCAGCCTATGCATCCCAGGTGCAGACCTCCTCAGCTGTCACATTCTGGACCCAAAGGAGTGGTCCTCACACCCAGCGATTTTCTGGACCTGTGTCGCTGGTGAGCTCCATGGGTGCTACCAGATCATCCCAAGGACCGATTTGGATGCCTTGGGGCTTCCACCCCAGAAAAGTTTTTTTGTGAGACAAATCCTCTCCATCCTACAGCTGGGCCTGGATCAGCATTTGGCTCTCAGTACAAAAAGTTGATCAGATTCATAGGGAAGAACTAATTAAAGATAAACCTTCAAGAGTGGAACAAAATGACACTGTCCAATAGTTCTGGACTATGGGATACAACATAAACAGATCGAGAAATTATTTAAAAAATATTGGCCTATACCTACAGCGGATAAGCATTTATCTAAAGTTCTGCCGGGAGATCCTAAGTTTACATATCGGAGAGTCCTCAGGTTACGGGATCGTATAGCAAAAAATGTGAATCCTCCAATTAGAAATTAATTTTCTTTGTTTACTGGAAAAGGTTTTTTTTCCATGTAAATGCTGCTTCGGATGTGTAAGGACAAAAGGAGCCAATCAGAAAAGGGATCATTTTATAGCAACGACTACTGGCAAACAATATCAAATTACTGATTGTATCACATGCAAGACGAAAGGGGGTGTTTATGCATTACAGTGTTCTTATCCAATATATAGGACGGACAAAAAGGCCTCTGTGGAAAAGAATTAGGGAACGTGCAAAATATATCCAAAGGTTTTAAAAACCATAGTGTATCTAAGAATTTAGCCACCGTACATAATAAAGATCCATCTTCTTTAAAATTCTGGGAAATAGAAAAGTACCATCCGCATTGGAGGGGTAGTAACAAAATTATGACTGAGTCAGCGTGAATCCTACTGGACAGGGGTGGACTGACAACTCATGGGGCCCCTGAGTCCTTGCCCCAACTCAAAAAAGCCTATGAAAAAGGTACCAGGGGCATCTCATGGGGCCCCCTACTGACCCCGGGCCCTCGGGCAGTGCCCGAGTTTCCAAATGGTCAGTCCGCCCCTGCTACTGGATATATGAATTACAGACTTTATTTCCGTCAGGTCACAATGTAGAGTTCGATATTAATTGTTTATGTGATTTTTTTTTTTAAATTAATTTTATCATCTTACCAGTTGTTTAGCAAACTGATTATATGAGTTATTTTATTGAAGGCTTTTTGTAGTATTATTATTATTATTATACAGTAGGTGTAATATATACTTTTTCACCACTAGATAGAGTAATAAACATCTCTTGTTATGATTGTATTTTATTTTTATAAGCCTTTTAATTTTTCCTTTTTTTATCTATGTAATGTAGTTATGTATTCGCTTATTATTGTAAGGCGGGATGTATCTGTTTTATGGAATAGTTTTTAATTATGCCAGTCCGGTTACTATAGAAACCTTCTTGCATAATTGTTTGAGCATCACTCAGCGTCCTATTCCTGATGAAGCCAGGGTTGGTGGTGTAACGCATGGGGCGGAGCTTAGTGACTTCCCTTCCGGTTACCTAGCAGCAGACTGGAAGTTCGGTGTTTGTGCCAATTCTCAGATGTTTACTACATGTTTGTAAGTGCAAACTTGGCTGTTTTTATGATATTACATTGAATAAATGGTATTATAAGATTGGAGGCTGTTCTTTCTTCCCCATATGTACTCAGTTGAGAAGAGGAGTCTTTTTGGGTGTTTGTGATCTTGCGAAACCACCATTATTGTGCATTTCAAGTTTGCTGCTCTTTGGAGTCCATGTTTTGAATCACCATGCTTGTGAGACCTATGTATATATGTTTATAGTTCCTAGGCTTCAGGCGAGCGGCCGTCTTATTTTAGGTGGAGGGACATAAATTCTTTTTTGTGGTGGAGCACTTGATTATGAGGGGAAGCACAGATGCAAATATAGTCATTGGCTAAGAAGCACAGAGACTGTTGCACTATCGATCACATCGGACTTTAATAAATATTGTATATTGTTCTGGAATTATGCTTATGTTCTTAATCAGGAGATGTTTTTATGGTGACACCGTAATTAAATTTTTTTCATTGAGTAGTGCAACACTAATTATTATTTGGCGCTCAGTACTATCAAGGGCCAAGTTTCTGCCTTTCCTGTTTTGTTTCAAAGACTGTTGACATCTCACCCCTTGATTTAAGACTTTATACAGGGAGTCTCCCACGTAGCTTCCTCTGTGACTCTGTGGAATCTGAATCTGACTCTGTGTGGTTTAGAACACACTGTCTGAACCCATTGGAGACATTTTCTTTCTCAATTGTCATCCACAAGGTGATATTCCAGGGCAGTGTCTGCACTAGCCTGTAAAAAAAAAAAACATTTTCTGGTTTTGCATAGGGGCAAAGTGGTGTTGAGGTTCAGGAATTTCTTCTTGCCTAAGGTAGCTTCTGTCTTTCACCTCAACCAGGACATTGTTCTTCAGTCCGGCTCAAGTTCACCAAAAGACCTCCCTCTATTTTTTCTGAATGCGATTTGGGTTTTGTGAGTCTATTTCTTAGACCCTAATCCTTCAGGAAGACTGATTCACTTGTTCTCCTGTATGAACCTCATAAGAGTTCTCATTTCATCATCTCTAGTTGGCTAAGACAGACAGTTATTCAAGCTTATGGTCTTGAGGGTCAGGTTCCATCCTTACCTGTAAAGGTGCATTCTACTAGATCTGTGAGTGCTGATGGTAGGAGGGAGTATCATGGGCAGTACTACATTTTTCTCATTTGCAGGTATCCAATCCTCCTGTAAGCAGCAGTATAACCTATTGGTGAAAGACTTCCTGTACTGTATCCTTCAATGGACTCCAAGAAAAGGATTGTTTTGTATGTACAAAAGTCCAATTTTTAATGATTGTGTTGTTCTTGCAGATCACATTGAAACTGCCATTAATGAAGGTTCACTTTGACATTTCATCTCTTGTTGTGACCTTGGCACACAGTGTTGTTATTCATGAAACAAAGGGAATAACGAGATGCCTCCTTAACGAAGCCACCAACAAGCAAGGGGAGAAGGAGCAGATTCTCAACACGGAGGGCATAAACCTGCAAGAGCTCTTCAAATATTCAGATGTAAGTCAAGTAAAAGAAGCATTGTAATACTTCTGTTATCAGTATCTTGACTCTTGTGAAGTATCAGTGGACAGCACTGCTTCTCCTAGAAGTACAAGTACCACTAAATGGTATGGGGATGAAGCATCTTGTCTCAGGCACTCCTAGCACATCAATGAATTGTTTCCTTTGTAAAAACATTGTTCTGATTTCTATGTATGTGTGATCATTGTTGCAAAACTAGAAGGGAGTTTTTTCCAGCACAGGGGCAGTTAAGCCTTCCGCTTCAAAATTTGTCAAAATATCTGTAGAAACCAGCAACAAAGTGTAGCACCCTTGTAGTGGACAGAATGTTGGGTTAGATTTAGGTACTTGAAGGGCATATCCATAAGAGATGCACGTGTATTCAATACCCACCTTCCACTCAGTGCCCATCCAATACTGGAGTATTCGTTTAGAATGGATGAACTCATACTAACATATTCCATTTGTAGTGTGTTAAAATGTTGGCTCTCGTACACATGATAAGCTTCATTACCAGCAATGACTGGTTCAGGCAAGGCACTAATAACTGTGTTATGAACAAAGTAAACTTTTTTTTTTTTTTCTGTTTTTCATTGACCTTTTTAAATTTCACTGAATAGTAAATAAAAGCTATTTAGTTTCTTAGTGGTGCTGTGACAGGTTGTAGAGGAAAGGTGATAAAACAAACTGGGTGAGTGAATTTATTAGTTTTTCATAGTTTCCATAGATTATAAAGTTGAAAAAATACACATTTCTTTCCAGTTCAGCCTATATGTGTTTTTGCATTTTTTCCCCTAGTAATTCTCATAGCACTGTATATTCTGCTTCCTGAAGAAAACATCTGAAGTTTTTTTTGGGGGGGGGGGGGGGGGGGGGGGGGGGGGGGGTTTGTCTACATTCTGGGGGAGGGAGTTCACATTTTTGCTGCTCTAGCAGTAAAGATCCCTTTCTGAAATCTAAGGTTGAAGTACAACTAAAGGCAACACTGTTTTTGTTTTGGACAGATTGGTGATGGATTACAACACGTGTCAGTACTTATTGCTGTCTGTGTACACGTTAAGGAGAGTCACCCTCTTTATTTGTTCTGTTAAAGTGGTTTTTAAAGGTGCAAGGCTTTTTACCTTCATGCATTCAGGTAAAAACCCTCTCTGTGCAGCATCCTCCCCAGCCCCCCCCCCCCCCAATACACACCTAAGCCCCCTTGCGATCCAGCAATATGCACTGGAGTCTCAGCTATTCTGGGACTCCCTCTCCTCATCGGGTGAGACAGCAGTGGAAGCCACTGACTCCCACTGCTGTCAGTCACAGCCAGTGAGCAAATGAGAAGAGAGAGGGGGCGGGGCTGAGTCACAGCTTCGTGTGTGAATGGTCATGGAGCAGCGGCTGGGGAGTATGCATGCTGCGGTGCCCCCATAGCAAGCTACTTGCTGTGTGGGCACTCGACAGGAGGGAGGGGCCAGGAGCACCGGCAGGGGCCCCAAGAAAAGGAGAATCCAGGCTGCTCTGTGCAAAACCACTGCACAGAGCAGGAAAGTATAACATGTTTGTAATTTTTTGTTTTTTTATTTAAGCCTTTAGAAGAACTTTAACCATTATTGAAAGTAAAAGAAAATACCAAATTTTGGGTTGTTTTCTGAAAAGTAATAGAGGGGGAAACCTTTCAATATGGACACTAGTTCTGGTGACCTGGGGATCCCCTAGGGATTCCTTTAATTTGCAGGAATTTCCTCTCACTCCCTGTTTTGGCTATGGGACCGGATGTGAAGAGAATTATCCCCAGTGGGACACAGATGGCAAAAAATTAACTGACAGGAGTTATGACCTTCCCTTAGGCAGGCCACAGACAGGTCGTTTATCAGCCGATTTTTTCGGGCGATAAACGAAAAATTGGTCGTTGCTGGCAGTGATGCTGCCACCAATGTCCACGAAAAATGGCTGTTTTTTTGTGGATTTTCCAACATGACCGATAAAAATAAATGAGAAGATCCGCGAAAAAAACGGCCAACGGGCTGGCCCCACTAACGGCGTGATTGTCGCCCATTTTCGTGCGGACGAAAATTGGGCTGATAAACGACCCAGATATGGCCTGCATTACTCTATCCACAATGCAAAAACAAGTTTTGCCTACAGTTCTACTGTAAACCTAGTTTCTTCTAGCCTCACATTGTGGAAATGCATCTTCTTCAGGGACAGAGTAAACTGTTTGGTACAGTTACTAGAGTCACCTTTGGTATATTTGTACATTGTATTTATATCCCCCCTTGAAGTGCCTCTTCTGCAGATTGAAAAACAAAACCGCCACAGCGTCCAGTGACCCTCAGCTTCTAGTCCCCAAATTGGAATATGAACCAGCAGGTTCAGAGGCAGAGGAGAGGACCAGGGCTCCTGCAGCTTCCATCAATGATCTAGGCAGATCCAAGCTGAGCATGAAAACAAAAGGACAGGAGTGCAGGATCCCATTAAAACCATAGGAACATTTAATGACTCCAAAAGATAGCACACTTACACTAAGGTAACTCTTTGTCAGCATGGGTGAGTAGATGGCAAGGTGTCATCATAGGCAGGGACTGTATCTGATAGCTGCAGTTGAGCAATCCTGAAGCCGGCTCAAGAGGGACCTGCTGAGCATGACAGCTGACAAGGGGGGCTATAACCTTCTTCGAAAAGTGGTACTTGTCACGGACGCACGGTCGCCACCTTCAACATGCGACAATCGCACAACCGCGATCAACAATACGTCATGCCCACGGCGTCAGACCCCAGACCTTCTCACCAAACTCGTGACCGAAGGACCGGCCGATCTAAAACCGCGATGTGACGTGCGTAACAATGCCACAATCAGCTGCGCCCTGCACAACGATTGTCCAGCTAATGGAATGCAATCGACGCACCGGCAGCCTGAATGCGCTTTTTACTGGGTCGGGTTAATTACGCAACTAACCCTTCACTGCCACCACCCCTTTTTGTACAGAGAAAGGGGAAACTCTCTTTATTCAATATACACTGTAATGGTTGAAAAGTCGCCTGTCCAATATGGTCACCACAGGCCAATTGGGCAGAGGATTAAACAAACACAGTAGCGTCTCTTCAGAAGGCAGGGATTCGTAAATTGCAATTAAGCGCTTTAGAAACAGTTTTAACACTTTCAGAAAGAAAGATTTATTACTAAAAGAGTCAAACAGGTGCAATAAAATATTTACAAAAAAATGTACCTAAGATATATATTTATATATACATATGCATAGAAATAGCACAGCAAAGAGATAACAGGGAGAAGTTACAGGGTTAAGTTACTTGCCATGTTAAGCTTTAAGGTAAGCAGATCCAAGTTGCAGAGCGAAGGGTCTTTGATCTCCTGCTGTTACGATGTTAAAATTGGGAGATGTGTTTAGCTTAACTCTTAGGCCTGCTAGCCTGAGTTTTTAAAAGTCCCCCAGCAGAAGGAATGGCTCTGAGTAACTGACCAATATGCTGTTTAGGGAGGGGTCAGTCGGGCGAACTCTGAATTAGAACCAACATCTGTCATAATCCATGATATGAAACATAGGGGAAAACCAGATCTGTTAAAAATGTTATCTTGTTTGTGCTTCTGGGGAATGCCTTGAACTCTTGAGAAGGTTCTGCCATCCTTCCCCGAGGTGTGAAATCACACAGCTCCCTTGGACAGAGAGTCTGCTGTCTCTATGGGGGGGGCTTTGTAGCGCTGGGCCCCCTGCTACTCCAGCCTGCCAGCAACTTTTAACACACATCTGTCCCTGTGCCTCTCAGGAAGGGAGGGGGTAGGGAATAAAGGATTGAGGAATACTTCTAATAAAAAAGGGGAACTCCACGTCCATCTCTGATGAGCAAGTTTGCTACAGTACTGCCCCCCTATAAGACTTAGAGTTCAGCCACGGGGGTGGAACGGTGGCGGCAGACGCTGAACCAAGTAAACATTAGCTGTCATACTAAACGGGTCCCTCTTGAGCTGACTTCGGGATCGCTCACTGCAGCTCGGATACAGTCCCTGCCTGTGATGACCTCTTGCCCTCTACTCGCCCATGCTGACAAAGAGTTACCTTAATGTAAGTGTGCTATTTTATTGGAGTCCATAAATGTTGCTATGATCTTGATGGGATCTCGCGCTTCTGTTTGTTTTTGCTTCTCCAGAGTGAATAAACTACTCTATGTAATCATTTACTCATTCCCCCTTTATTCATTTGGTTTACCCTTTGCTGAACCCATTCTACAATGTATCTCAACAACGCCTTTCCTGAGGATCAGGAACTACATTTTCAACATGAGGCCAAACCAGTGTTTTGTGAAAGGGTAGAATTATTGATCTAACGCTGGAATGTATGTCCTTTTTTAATGTATGGGAGTATTTTTGCTAGCTGTTAGCTGTGGTTTAGTTCTAGTTCTATTATTCCGTCTGTAATCTACATGCACACCCAGGTCCTTTGCCATCACTTATTCTCCCAGGGGAGCACCTCAAACTGTGTATTTTGCATGTGTATTTTGGCACAACGATGTAACGATGCGACATCTTGTGCCAACTTTATTTCCCTGGATAATTTGGTATTATCAGCAAACACTGACATTGAGCTCGTAATGTAGCCTAATGAACTTCTGTATCATTGATAAATAACTTGAACAGCGTTGACCCCAAGACAAACACTGGGGCACATCACTCACAATTTTAGATCATTCAGAGAATGAATGATTTATCACTACTCTCTGGGACCTGTTCATGTAACCAGTTTCCTATCCTTGTACATACAAGTTCTTCAACTTCAACAGGCCTTATTTTATAGATTAAACATTTGAGATATAGTAACAAATGCTTTAGCAAAATCTAGATAAATTATGTCCACTGGACTGCTACCATCTGGTTTCTCAACGAAGGGTAACGAGTTGATCTGACAAGAACGGTCTATTATAAATCCATGCTGGTGATTTTCACTCATGATACCCTTTTTGCAGACAAATTTCTGAAGTAAGAGTACCTTACACCTTCT